GCAACTAAACTAGTAACTAAACTAGTAACTAAACTAGTAACTAAACTAGTAACTAAACTAGTAACTAACTAGTGACTAAACTAGTAACTAACTAGTAACTATACTAGTAACTAACTAGTGACTAACTAGTAACTAAACTAGTAACTAAACTAGTAACTAAACTAGTAACTAAACTAGTAACTAAACTAGTAACTAACTAGTGACTAAACTAGTAACTAACTAGTGACTAACTAGTAACTAAACTAGTAACTAGTGACTAACTAGTAACTAACTAGTGACTAACTAGTAACTAACTAGTAACTAACTAGTGACTAACTAGTAACTAAACTAGTAACTAACTAGTGACTAACTAGTAACTAACTAGTGACTAACTAGTAACTATACTAGTTACTAAACTAGTAACTAACTAGTGACTAACTAGTGACTAACTAGTAACTATACTAGTAACTAAACTAGTAACTAAACTAGCAACTAAACTAGTAACTAAACTAGAAACTAAACTAGTAACTAAACTAGTAACTAAACTAGTAACTAAACTAGTAACTAAACTAGTAACTAAACTAGTAACTAAACTAGTAACTAACTAGTGATTAACTAGTAACTAACTAGTGACTAACTAGTAACTAACTAGTAACTAACTAGTGACTAACTAGTGACTAACTAGTAACTAACTAGTAACTAACTAGTGACTAACTAGTAACTAACTAGTAACTAGACTAGTAACTAAACTAGTAACTAAACTAGTAACTAAACTAGTAACTAAACTAGTAACTAAACTAGTAACTAACTAGTGACTAAACTAGTAACTAACTAGTGACTAACTAGTAACTAAACTAGTAACTAACTAGTGACTAACTAGTAACTAACTAGTAACTAAACTAGTAACTAAACTAGTAACTAAACTAGTAACTAAACTAGTAACTAAACTAGTTACTAAACTAGTTACTAACTAGTAACTAAACTAGTAACTAACTAGTAACTATACTAGTTACTAAACTAGTAACTAACTAGTGACTAAACTAGTAACTAACTAGTGACTAACTAGTAACTAAACTAGTAACTAAACTAGTAACTAAACTAGTAACTAAACTAGTAACTAAACTAGTAACTAAACTAGTAACTAACTAGTGACTAAACTAGTAACTAACTAGTAACTAACTAGTTACTAAACTAGTAATTAACTAGTGACTAACTAGTAACTAACTAGTAACTAAACTAGTGACTAACTAGTAACTAAACTAGTAACTAAACTAGTAACTAAACTAGTAACTAAACTAGTAACTAAACTAGTAACTAAACTAGTAACTAACTAGTGACTAAACTAGTAACTAACTAGTGACTAACTAGTAACTAAACTAGTAACTAATTAGTGACTAACTAGTAACTAACTAGTAACTAAACTAGTAACTAAACTAGTAACTAAACTAGTAACTAAACTAGTAACTAAACTAGTAACTAAACTAGTTACTAAACTAGTTACTAACTAGTAACTAAATTAGTAACTAACTAGTAACTATACTAGTTACTAGACTAGTAACTAACTAGTGACTAAACTAGTAACTAACTAGTAACTAACTAGTTACTAAACTAGTAACTAACTAGTGACTAACTAGTAACTAACTAGTGACTAACTAGTGACTAACTAGTAACTATACTAGTAACTAAACTAGTAACTAAACTAGCAACTAAACTAGTAACTAAACTAGTAACTAAACTAGTAACTAAACTAGTAACTAAAATAGTAACTAACTAGTGACTAAACTAGTAACTAACTAGTGACTAACTAGTAACTAAACTAGTAACTAACTAGTGACTAACTAGTAACTAACTAGTGACTAACTAGTAACTAACTAGTAACTAAACTAGTAAATATACTAGTAACTAACTAGTAACTAAACTAGTTACTAACTAGTGACTAACTAGTACCTATACTAGTAACTAAACTAGTAACTAAACTAGCAACTAAACTAGTAACTAAACTAGTAACTAAACTAGTAATTAAACTAGTAACTAAACTAGTTACTAACTAGTAACTAAACTAGTAACTAACTAGTAACTATACTAGTTACTAAACTAGTAACTAACTAGTGACTAACTAGTAACTAACTAGTGACTAACTAGTGACTAACTAGTAACTATACTAGTAACTAAACTAGTAACTAAACTAGTAACTAAACTAGCAACTAAACTAGTAACTAAATTAGTAACTAAACTAGTAACTAAACTAGTAACTAAACTAGTAACTAACTAGTGACTAAACTAGTAACTAACTAGTGACTAACTAGTAACTAAACTAGTAACTAACTAGTGACTAACTAGTAACTAAACTAGTAACTAAACTAGTAACTAAACTAGTAACTAAACTAGTAACTAAACTAGTAACTAAACTAGTTACTAAACTAGTTACTAACTAGTAACTAAACTAGTAACTAACTAGTAACTATACTAGTTACTAAACTAGTAACTAACTAGTGACTAAACTAGTAACTAACTAGTAACTAACTAGTTACTAAACTAGTAACTAACTAGTGACTAACTAGTGACTAACTAGTGACTAACTAGTAACTATACTAGTAACTAAACTAGTAACTAAACTAGCAACTAAACTAGTAACTAAACTAGTAACTAAACTAGTAACTAACTAGTGACTAAACTAGTAACTAACTAGTGACTAACTAGTAACTAAACTAGTAACTAACTAGTGACTAACTAGTAACTAACTAGTAACTAAACTAGTAACTAAACTAGTAACTAAACTAGTAACTAAACTAGTAACTAAACTAGTAACTAAACTAGTAACTAACTAGTGACTAAACTAGTAACTAACTAGTGACTTACTAGTAACTAAACTAGTAACTAACTAGTGACTAACTAGTAACTAAACTAGTAACTAACTAGTGACTAACTAGTAACTAACTAGTAACTAAACTAGTAACTAAACTAGTAACTAAACTAGTAACTAAACTAGTAACTATACTAGTTACTAAACTAGTAACTAACTAGTGACTAAACTAGTAACTAACTAGTAACTAACTAGTTACTAAACTAGTTACTAACTAGTGACTAACTAGTAACTAACTAGTAACTAAACTAGTTACTAACTAGTGACTAACTAGTGACTAACTAGTAACTATACTAGTAACTAAACTAGTAACTAAACTAGCAACTAAACTAGTAACTAAACTAGTAACTAAACTAGTAACTAAACTAGTAACTAAACTAGTAACTAACTAGTGACTAAACTAGTAACTAACTAGTGACTAACTAGTAACTAAACTAGTAACTAACTAGTGACTAACTAGACTAGTAACTAACTAGTAACTAAACTAGTAACTAAACTAGTAACTAACTAGTAACTAAACTAGTTACTAACTAGTGACTAACTAGTGACTAACTAGTAACTATACTAGTAACTAAACTAGTAACTAAACTAGCAACTAAACTAGTAACTAAACTAGTAACTAAACTAGTAACTAAACTAGTAACTAAACTAGTTACTAACTAGTAACTAAACTAGTAACTAACTAGTGACTAAACTAGTAACTAACTAGTGACTAACTAGTAACTAAACTAGTAACTAAACTAGTAACTAAACTAGTAACTAAACTAGTAACTAAACTAGTAACTAACTAGTGACTAAACTAGTAACTAACTAGTAACTAACTAGTTACTAAACTAGTAACTAACTAGTGACTAACTAGTAACTAACTAGTAACTAAACTAGTTACTAACTAGTGACTAACTAGTGACTAACTAGTAACTAAACTAGTAACTAAACTAGCAACTAAACTAGTAACTAAACTAGTAACTAAACTAGTAACTAAACTAGTAACTAACTAGTGACTAAACTAGTAACTAACTAGTGACTAACTAGTAACTAAACTAGTAACTAACTAGTGACTAACTAGACTAGTAACTAACTAGTAACTAAACTAGTAACTAAACTAGTAACTAACTAGTAACTAAACTAGTTACTAACTAGTGACTAACTAGTGACTAACTAGTAACTATACTAGTAACTAAACTAGTAACTAAACTAGCAACTAAACTAGTAACTAAACTAGTAACTAAACTAGTAACTAAACTAGTAACTAAACTAGTTACTAACTAGTAACTAAACTAGTAACTAACTAGTAACTATACTAGTTACTAAACTAGTAACTAACTAGTGACTAAACTAGTAACTAACTAGTGACTAACTAGTAACTAAACTAGTAACTAAACTAGTAACTAAACTAGTAACTAAACTAGTAACTAAACTAGTAACTAACTAGTGACTAAACTAGTAACTAACTAGTAACTAACTAGTTACTAAACTAGTAACTAACTAGTGACTAACTAGTAACTAACTAGTGACTAAACTAGTAACTAAACTAGTAACTAACTAGTGACTAACTAGTAACTAACTAGTAACTAAACTAGTAACTAAACTAGTAACTAACTAGTAACTAAACTAGTTACTAACTAGTGACTAACTAGTGACTAACTAGTAACTATACTAGTAACTAAACTAGTAACTAAACTAGCAACTAAACTAGTAACTAAACTAGTAACTAAACTAGTAACTAAACTAGTAACTAAACTAGTAACTAACTAGTGACTAAACTAGTAACTAACTAGTGACTAACTAGTAACTAAACTAGTAACTAACTAGTGACTAACTAGTAACTAACTAGTAACTAAACTAGTAACTAAACTAGTAACTAAACTAGTAACTAAACTAGTAACTAAACTAGTAACTAAACTAGTAACTAACTAGTGACTAAACTAGTAACTAACTAGTGACTAACTAGTAACTAAACTAGTAACTAACTAGTGACTAACTAGTAACTAACTAGTAACTAAACTAGTAACTAAACTAGTAACTAAACTAGTAACTAAACTAGTAACTAAACTAGTTACTAAACTAGTTACTAACTAGTAACTAAACTAGTAACTAACTAGTAACTATACTAGTTACTAAACTAGTAACTAACTAGTGACTAATTAAGTAAACTTACTTTCAGACACTTAACTGCGACTACATCATCTCCGTTAACAGCAGTTTCACACCGGGCTTTCCAGACCTCACCAAAGGCACCTGTAACAGTGTAACAGTGTAACAGTGTAACAGTGTAAAAGTGTAACAATGTAACAGTGTAACAGTGTAACAGTGTAACAGTGTAACAGTGTAACAGTGTAACAGTGTAACAATGTAACAGTGTAACAGTGTAACAGTGTAACAGTGTAACAGTGTAACAGTGTAACAGTGTAACAGTGTTACAGTGTAACAGTGTAACAGTGTAACAGTGTAACAGTGTAACAGTGTAACAGTGTAACAGTGTAACAGTGTTACAGTGTTACAGTGTAACAGTGTAACAAAATACTTATCTGAATAAGTTAGTGGGCACTAAGTAGTTGAGCTATAACCCTCAGCTTATGTGTATTAACTTGTGGCCCCCTTATTCTCTTATTGGAACGTTCACTACAACAACAGTTGTTGAATACCAACAAAAACAAGGCTGACATTATCACTGTATCACACGTCTAATATGAACAAAACTCAAATACCATTTCCAATTTTCTGAAGTAGAGTAAAGTTATCTTTGGGAAGACAGGTGGCGTGCTCTATCAGAAACTTGTCAAGAGCACCCACTTCTTGATCTTCCGGATCCACAAACGCTTTCTTTACTGAAAAAAAGAAGTTTTAATCTTTAACAAGGATTTTGTTGCGGTTATACCGCGACATATAAATATATATGTACATATTTGGTTATCTAGCGCTTGTTACAGTTATCATACCATGTCACTAGAAAAGTCTCTAGATAACTTGATAACAAGGATGTAAGATGTATATGGTATACATTGTATACATCGTATATTGTATACATTAAATACATTATAAAAAAACTGTGTGTAGACACGCTGTAGGCTGTGTGTACACAAAACAAACATGTCCCTGATAAACGACACTAATGTATACATCACAAAGAAGATGTGTAAAAATGAACAAATGAAAAGACGGCAGCCCTTCGATCATATTGAACTAAAGGAGACGGTTTTAGTTCGGGATCCGACTCTTATAGTTATTAGTTATACTGTACATATTGTAACTATAATATTAAATGAACTTTATTTATTGCTAATAAGGTTATGATTGATTATAACTTAATAGTAATCGCTATGATAACTTACTTAGTAGTCGTTCACACATAATTTTGAAAAGCTTGCTAGTTTAATTTCTGCACAGTAGCTGATCTGGTTTGCGTAATACCTAACAAACAAACAAACAAACAAACAAACAAACAAACAAACAAACAAACAAACAAACAAACAAACAAACAAACAAACAAACAAACAAACAAACAAACAAACAAACAAACAAACAAACAAACAAACAAACAAACAAACAAACAAACAAACAAACAAACAAACAAACAAACAAACAAACAAACAAACAAACAAACAAACAAACAAACAAACAAACAAACAAGTAACTAACTAACTAACTAACTAACTAACTAACTAACTAACTAACTAACTAACTAACTAACTAACTAGTAACTAGTAACTAACTGACTAGTAACTAACTGACTAGTAACTAACTGACTAGTAACTAACTAACTAACTAAACTAACTATTAACTAACTAGTAATCAACCTAACTAATCTAACTAACTAATCTAACTAACTAATCTAACTAACTAAAAAGTAACTAACCGATCGTGATTTTTCTGACCCACTCTCGGATTCTAAGTGTAGTTATAGGATTGGCTGGAGATGACTCGGTAGAGAGAAAGGAATTGCTGTTATCTCTGTGTAGCGTGTGATCAGTGGTGGCTGAAAAGAAGACAGGTTACAAGTCCAAATTAAGTTTTTATATTTCTGATACCTCTATTGAGTTGAAATATAGCTGTACTAAGTACTTGTTAATTAGAGGACACGATGGTGTTCATTTTCATCACAACTCAAGTTTAGGCAGCACAGCGGGCACACTGTTTATAAGGCACACACTGTTTAGGCTGCACAGCGGGCACACTGTTTATAAGGCACACACTGTTTAGGCTGCACAGCGGGCACACTGTTTATAAGGCACACACTGTTTAGGCTGCACAGCGGGCACACTGTTTATAATGCACACACTGTTTAGGCTGCACAGCGGGCACACTGTTTATAAGGCACACACTGTTTAGGCTGCACAGCGGGCACACTGTTTATAATGCACACACTGTTTAGGCTGTACAGCGGGCACACTGTTTATAAGGCACACACTGTTTAGGCTGCACAGCGGGCACACTGTTTATAATGCACACACTGTTTAGGCTGCACAGCGCGCACACTGTTTATAATGCACACACTGTTTAGGCTGCACAGCGGGCACACTGTTTATAATGCACACACTGTTTAGGCTGCACAGCGGGCACACTGTTTTTAAGGCACACACTGTTTAGGCTGCACAGCGGGCACACTGTTTTTAAGGCTTTGTTAGTAATCGAATTTAAAATGTAAATTGCGACGTTATCATTGAAAACAATAATAAGGTATGCGTTACAATCACTACATGGTACACACAAACAGTCCCATAACTTAATCACGCAGTTAAATAGATTATACAATTCGATCTGTTATCATATTACAAAACATTAATGGAATACAGAAATTCTAATATAAAACTAAAATTAATCGGTAACAATATTCTATCAGTGAAGTATGTCTGAAATGAACATTGAACATGACAGATTAATTCACAACAACCCTGGATGTGTAATGACATACAAAATGTACGTTTTTTTAAAGATCGAATATAAAAACTGATAACGTTGAAAAATATGTGTAGTACTTGTAAGGTTACATAATATGACTTAGTAAGTCTGTGATTCTTACAGTGTTTACAATAGCACGTGAAATGATCAGATAAATGTAGTTATCACTATGGTAACCGCTTATTGGGAAATACACTTTGTTCAGAGTATAGTACTACACATACACATACTGTTTACAATTGTTGATGAGGTGAGATGAGATAATGGTATTTAGGGCGGCGAAAATGGGTCTGCTGGTTCATCACAAACACATACACATACTGTTTACAATTATTGATGAGGTGAGACAAGTGAACAGTGTACCAGAATGAAGAGTGTACTATACACTAGATACTTTATATACTATACACTAGATACGGAGGTATACATTGAACCTTCAGTCAGATATACAAAACTGCAAGGACAAACGGTCTGCGATATCTTACCAGGAGCTGTTGAGGTTAAGTAACCTCAGGTTACTTAACCTCAATATCAAATTCACAGCTAGGTTACTAGCTGGTAACCTGGTAACTTGATAATGTGGCAACTTACTGCTTTATCTTACCAGGAGCTGTGGATTTGATGTGAAGGTTAGGAAGATTGTCTTCTGAATCATCTTCTGAGTCAGGTGTAGGAACGGTAACACAGTAGTTCACATTGCCAGTCACATCTGAAACACGTGGTCAATTAGGGGCTGGGCTCACTAAAAACAACTGGTATTCAGCGCTATCTAAATTTCTAACATCATTAATTGTTATTTACATATTATATAATATATATACATATAATATATATATATCATCTATATAATAATATTTGTATCCATATTATCTAATTATTATAATTTGTTATTTATATAATTACTGAGAATAGTTATATAAATTACATTACTTTTAGATTTGATAGAACGTCTAGTAACTGCTGGAGATGAGTAGCAATCAAATCCTCCACCATCTTGACTGGTGTCGTTACCAAGGTAACTATCGTCATTTTGGTTACCTTGGTTACTATCGTTACGATACTCAGGTTTCTCACAGTACAAAGAAGGGTTGGCAGGTGATTCACTGTACTGTGAAGGTATACTAAGGGGTGCAATGTACTCTGCTTTGAATGTTCCATCTGTGAGAGAGGGTCGGTTAAATATGACTATTTTGCCAGGTCAGTGGATGTCGTCTCTTTGCCAGGTCAGTGGAGGTCGTCTCTTTGCAAGGTCAGTGGAGGTCATCTCTTTGTCAGGTCAGTGGAGGTTGTCTCTTTGTCAGGTCAGTGGAGGTCGTCTCTTTGTCAGGTCAGTGGAGGTCGTCTCTTTGTCAGGTCAGTGGAGGTTGTCTCTTTGTCAGGTCAGAGGAGGTCGTCTCTTTGCCAGGTCAGTGGAGGTTGTCTCTTTGTCAGATCAGTGGAGGTCGTCTCTTTGTCAGGTCAGTGGAGGTCGTCTCTTTGTCAGGTCAGTGGAGGTCGTCTCTTTGTCAGGTCAGTGGAGGTCGTTTCTTTGCCAGGTCAGTGGAGGTCGGCTCTTTGTCAGGTCAGTGGAGGTCGTCTCTTTGTCAGGTCAGTGGAGGTCGTCTCTTTGTCAGGTCAGTGATTTGATTTTGATATCATCGTCATTACTTATCACTAAGTGTCTTTGTCTCATTGCCATTTCCATCGTTTAATCACCTGGTGTGTCTGGTATGATGAGGACAGAAGGTACAGCAGTAGCAATAGAGGAAGTTTCCTGGCCCACTCTGTCCAGTAGCGCAGTGTTAGGGGGAGTCTCCTGATCCACTCCTCTTTCCATCGCTGTAGTATTTCCGTCTGATAGTCTGAGAGTCCTGATTTCACTTCTCAGGGTGTGAAGCGTGTCTTGTGGATCATTCATGTACGTCCCTAGATTTAGACAGGATAGACTTGTGGATCATTCATGTACGTCCCTAGATTTAGACAGGATAGTCTTGTGGATCATTCATGTACGTCCCTAGATTTAGACAGGATAGTCTTGTGGATCATTCATGTACGTCCCTAGATTTAGACAGGATAGTCTTGTGGATCATTCATGTACGTCCCTAGATTTAGACAGGATAGACTTGTGGATCATTCATGTACGTCCCCTAGATTTAGACAGGATAGTCTTGTGGATCATTCATGTACGTCCCTAGATTTAGACAGGATAGACTTGTGGATCATTCATGTACGTCCCTAGATTTAGACAGGATAGTCTTGTGGATCATTCATGTACGTCCCTAGATTTAGATAGGATAGACTTGTGGATCATTCATGTACGTCCCTAGATTTAGACAGGATAGTCTTGTGGATCATTCATGTACGTCCCTAGATTTAGACAGGATAGTCTTGTGGATCATTCATGTACGTCCCTAGATTTAGACAGGATAGTCTTGTGGATCATTCATGTACGTCCCTAGATTTAGACAGGATAGTCTTGTGGATCATTCATGTACGTCCCTAGATTTAGATAGGATAGACTTGTGGATCATTCATGTACGTCCCTAGATTTAGACAGGATAGTCTTGTGGATCATTCATGTACGTCCCTAGATTTAGACAGGATAGACTTGTGGATCATTCATGTACGTCCCTAGATTTAGACAGGATAGTCTTGTGGATCATTCATGTACGTCCCTAGATTTAGACAGGATAGTCTTGTGGATCATTCATGTACGTCCCTAGATTTAGACAGGATAGTCTTGTGGATCATTCATGTACGTCCCTAGATTTAGACAGGATAGTCTTGTGGATCATTCATGTACGTCCCTAGATTTAGACAGGATAGTCTTGTGGATCATTCATGTACGTCCCTAGATTTAGACAGGATAGTCTTGTGGATCATTCATGTACGTCCCTAGATTTAGACAGGATAGACTTGTGGATCATTCATGTACGTCCCTAGATTTAGACAGGATAGACTTGTGGATCATTCATGTACGTCCCTAGATTTAGACAGGATAGACTTGTGGATCATTCATGTACGTCCCTAGATTTAGACAGGATAGTCTTGTGGATCATTCATGTACGTCCCTAGATTTAGACAGGATAGACTTGTGGATCATTCATGTACGTCCCTAGATTTAGACAGGATAGTCTTGTGGATCATTCATGTACGTCCCTAGATTTAGACAGGATAGTCTTGTGGATCATTCATGTACGTCCCTAGATTTAGACAGGATAGACTTGTGGATCATTCATGTACGTCCCTAGATTTAGACAGGATAGACTTGTGGATCATTCATGTACGTCCCTAGATTTAGACAGGATAGACTTGTGGATCATTCATGTACGTCCCTAGATTTAGACAGGATAGACTTGTGGATCATTCATGTACGTCCCTAGATTTAGACAGGATAGTCTTGTGGATCATTCATGTACGTCCCTAGATTTAGACAGGATAGACTTGTGGATCATTCATGTACGTCCCTAGATTTAGACAGGATAGTCTTGTGGATCATTCATGTACGTCCCTAGATTTAGACAGGATAGTCTTGTGGATCATTCATGTACGTCCCTAGATTTAGACAGGATAGTCTTGTGGATCATTCATGTACGTCCCTAGATTTAGACAGGATAGACTTGTGGATCATTCATGTACGTCCCTAGATTTAGACAGGATAGTCTTGTGGATCATTCATGTACGTCCCTAGATTTAGACAGGATAGACTTGTGGATCATTCATGTACGTCCCTAGATTTAGACAGGATAGACTTGTGGATCATTCATGTACGTCCCTAGATTTAGACAGGATAGACTTGTGGATCATTCATGTACGTCCCTAGATTTAGACAGGATAGTCTTGTGGATCATTCATGTACGTCCCTAGATTTAGACAGGATAGACTTGTGGATCATTCATGTACGTCCCTAGATTTAGACAGGATAGTCTTGTGGATCATTCATGTACGTCCCTAGATTTAGACAGGATAGACTTGTGGATCATTCATGTACGTCCCTAGATTTAGACAGGATAGTCTTGTGGATCATTCATGTACGTCCCTAGATTTAGACAGGATAGTCTTGTGGATCATTCATGTACGTCCCTAGATTTAGACAGGATAGACTTGTGGATCATTCATGTACGTCCCTAGATTTAGACAGGATAGACTTGTGGATCATTCATGTACGTCCCTAGATTTAGACAGGATAGTCTTGTGGATCATTCATGTACGTCCCTAGATTTAGACAGGATAGACTTGTGGATCATTCATGTACGTCCCTAGATTTAGACAGGATAGACTTGTGGATCATTCATGTACGTCCCTAGATTTAGACAGGATAGACTTGTGGATCATTCATGTACGTCCCTAGATTTAGACAGGATAGACTTGTGGATCATTCATGTACGTCCCTAGATTTAGACAGGATAGACTTGTGGATCATTCATGTACGTCCCTAGATTTAGACAGGATAGACCTTGTGGATCATTCATGTACGTCCCTAGATTTAGACAGGATAGTCTTGTGGATCATTCATGTACGTCCCTAGATTTAGACAGGATAGACTTGTGGATCATTCATGTACGTCCCTAGATTTAGACAGGATAGACTTGTGGATCATTCATGTACGTCCCTAGATTTAGACAGGATAGTCTTGTGGATCATTCATGTACGTCCCTAGATTTAGACAGGATAGACTTGTGGATCATTCATGTACGTCCCTAGATTTAGACAGGATAGACTTGTGGATCATTCATGTACGTCCCTAGATTTAGACAGGATAGACTTGTGGATCATTCATGTACGTCCCTAGATTTAGACAGGATAGTCTTGTGGATCATTCATGTACGTCCCTAGATTTAGACAGGATAGTCTTGTGGATCATTCATGTACGTCCCTAGATTTAGACAGGATAGACTTGTGGATCATTCATGTACGTCCCTAGATTTAGACAGGATAGACTTGTGGATCATTCATGTACGTCCCTAGATTTAGACAGGATAGACTTGTGGATCATTCATGTACGTCCCTAGATTTAGACAGGATAGTCTTGTGGATCATTCATGTACGTCCCTAGATTTAGACAGGATAGACTTGTGGATCATTCATGTACGTCCCTAGATTTAGACAGGATAGTCTTGTGGATCATTCATGTACGTCCCTAGATTTAGACAGGATAGACTTGTGGATCATTCATGTACGTCCCTAGATTTAGACAGGATAGACTTGTGGATCATTCATGTACGTCCCTAGATTTAGACAGGATAGTCTTGTGGATCATTCATGTACGTCCCTAGATTTAGACAGGATAGTCTTGTGGATCATTCATGTACGTCCCTAGATTTAGACAGGATAGACTTGTGGATCATTCATGTACGTCCCTAGATTTAGACAGGATAGACTTGTGGATCATTCATGTACGCCCCTAGATTTAGACAGGATAGACTTGTGGATCATTCATGTACGTCCCTAGATTTAGACAGGATAGTCTTGTGGATCATTCATGTACGTCCCTAGATTTAGACAGGATAGTCTTGTGGATCATTCATGTACGCCCCTAGATTTAGACAGGATAGACTTGTGGATCATTCATGTACGTCCCTAGATTTAGACAGGATAGTCTTGTGGATCATTCATGTACGTCCCTAGATTTAGACAGGTTAGTCTTGTGGATCATTCATGTACGTCCCTAGATTTAGACAGGATAGACTTGTGGATCATTCATGTACGTCCCTAGATTTAGACAGGTTAGTCTTGTGGATCATTCATGTACGTCCCTAGATTTAGACAGGATAGACTTGTGGATCATTCATGTACGTCCCTAGATTTAGACAGGTTAGTCTTGTGGATCATTCATGTACGTCCCTAGATTTAGACAGGATAGACTTGTGGATCATTCATGTACGCCCCTAGATTTAGACAGGATAGACTTGTGGATCATTCATGTACGTCCCTAGATTTAGACAGGATAGTCTTGTGGATCATTCATGTACGTCCCTAGATTTAGACAGGTTAGTCTTGTGGATCATTCATGTACGTCCCTAGATTTAGACAGGATAGACTTGTGGATCATTCATGTACGTCCCTAGATTTAGACAGGTTAGTCTTGTGGATCATTCATGTACGTCCCTAGATTTAGACAGGATAGACTTGTGGATCATTCATGTACGTCCCTAGATTTAGACAGGATAGACTTGGTGCACTTTTTAAGACTAGCTATAATTTGGTAACATCCAATGCACACTGGGTACACTGTGCAATGCTAGCTGCTTTGAATATTGTAACAAAAGCATGGTCACCAGTTTATTCGATAGGGCAAGCAATGATTCCATAACTAATCCATTTATTATAATATTAGATAAAACCTTCCCCGGCGAGTAAATGGTATCAGTCCGGGTAATACTTACACTTTATGCTTCCCGCAAGAAAACAAGGAAACCTAGTGGAACTTACCGTCGTCCCCAAAGTCCAGGAATTCGTCGTCACTAAAGTCCAAGTCGAGAGGTAGAGAAGTGTTGGGGGGAGTGTCCTGGCCCACTCTGTCAGTGTTGAGCGAGGTGTCTTGTTGTGGTGAGTCGGGCAATGCTTCTACGGGATCCTGATACTCAATCTGTTTAAAAGAGGGTTACAAGGTTCAGCATGCGTTTAAGAAGAGTACATATCAGTGCCACAGCAAGAGAAAGGACAATGATATGCTAGACAAGTACAGTAAGTACAGCAGATTCAGTATTTTCTAAAGAGGCAATGTAGAGAAATTTAAGAATTAGAACATAATCGAGTGTAGTCAGGTAGAATAATCGAGAACCCATAATTGTTAACGACAGCACACTGAAGTAAAACCCTTAAAAAACCATTGTGATTATGATTGTAAAACTAATGCAATAGATATGGCATCTTCATACGATTAACACTCGTTCAAACATTAAATCATCTCGCTAATTAGGAGCCCACTTTCTCGCTAATTAGGAGCCCACTTTCTCGCTAATTAGGAGCCCACTTTCTCGCTAATTAGGAGCCCACTTTCTCACGAATCAGGAGCCCACTTTCAATTTCATGGAAAAAATGCCCAAAAATTTGAAAAATGTAAAATTGCCATTTTCGCTGTGAATCGAGGAAAAAATTTTCAAAACTAAATCATCAAATTAAACACAAGTAGAAAGGTCTTGAAGGAATTAATTTATCGATCATGATCAGAATTTAAGTTATTACTCTACCTTAATACTTATAACTAATGGAAATCTTTCGGTAATTTTCGAGGGTAAAATCTTATTTATGGTTTTATTTTTTTACTAAATTTATTTTTAATATTTTTAACTGCGTGTCATTTATAGGATGAAAACCTATGATTTACGTTTTTGGAGGGTGCACTACACTTTTTTTACTGTTTAGACTTTTGTTTGTCCCCTTTTCAGATACAATCGAATTTCTAATTAATGGTTACATAGAATAATGTATAGTTAATAGTTAATAGTATATATACTATGTTTACAGTTCTAGTTCACTACAATGTAGATTTACTGAAGGGGTACCATAGTAAGATTCTTGATCTTTTAGCAGGTACCCCTCCTCATTTAACCCTCAAACAAGTTTCCTATCATTCGACTGAGTCGACCGAGGAGATCGCATAGACATTAGTTACTCCCTAGACTAACAGTATTTAAGTATAAATTATATTGAGTAAATATTGTCTGACACTTGAAGGTGAACAAAGAAAGAATAATAGAAAAAAATAACACAGAAATAATTATGCCATTTCCTATAAAGCTACATGCCTGCAATCACAAAGAAAATGACAATCGATAAAGAATAAAAGATCCAAGCCATGCAGTGGTAACCTCTGTAAGGGGAATGTCACAGCTCTTCCTACGTTGAGATAAGGTATAGAGGGGGAGAGAAGGGGTGAATGTCCCAGGAAGGCTCTGTCGCGCGGACACTGCATGTTTTTGTGGGGCGTCTGTTTCATGGAGACTTGTTCGTGCAGGATGCTGTGTGACAGAGTGCTAACAACAAACCCCCGATAATTCACAGTAAAATATAGATATCAGCAAGTTGGAATACTGTCACACTCAGATACACTAACAACACCCTGCTTAGTAGTACTTACAGTCTCTGGTTTAACTTGGGGAGGGTTTACTCGACCTCCAGGTGATGAACTCCGTAAAGGTGACTGACTTCTAGCTGATGAATTGCTCGTCGTCCTGAGGTTTCATCAGATTATCAAAACTTTATTTTAAACTACTGTATATATAAGTTACATATTATATAATTCAAAGTTATTTAAAAAGAATTTGTACTTCATTATAACATAAATCATATTGATGTCGATAATTCATAATACTTGTAGATAGAGGGATTAAAATAAATGCTTTCGACAAAAACGTCCATGATCTCTATAGTGAAAGGGAGTAATTTTTTGGGTTTGATTATTATTTAGTTTTAATTAATTCATAAAAAATCGGGCACCTCAGCTCAATTGATTTGCCTGTCACGAATTTGTGATTTTTGCTTCAACACACACAACAACCTATTGTCTACGACACAAACCACACTCAAATTTAACAGAAATGGGAGAAATTTCATGAGCTGGATTTACCAATGGTTGACATGATAGTTGTTTGGCTCCGAATGTACTCGTGCCATCAGAGTTTGAACTTCTCTAAAATTAGGATCTCAAAAATGTTTAATTGAACAAATTTTAAACTCTATGAAAATTGAGTCTTGACTAACTTTTAATCATCAAAGCCAAGATATGTGGGTAATTACTAATCTAATAAATATTAATTACCTGACTCTGGGTGAGGAGGGGGATGATCTTCCATCTGAACCCTGGGAAGTTTCCTGTAGTTCCTTCATTTCATAAACTTTGTATAAATCACACAAAGAATATTTTAACATAACGACTTGACAACTGCTAGGGAGACCAATTAACTAGGTTTTTGTCATTTTCTTGCCCGTAGTTCACTAGCAGCTGGCTATAACAAGGTGGAAAAAACTATACGAACTTCACTGTCTATTAAAAAATGAGAAGATTGAGTTTAAAAAGTTCAACAAATGTCAATGTAACGACTTACCATGGAGAGTCTGGGGTTATGGGTGAAGGAATGGGGTAATGGTTGGTATGCATGCTCACTGTTCTCAGGTACTATTGTTGTTACTGATTGAGCATGAAGTAAAGATGCACTGATGTTTTGTTGTGTTGCCGTGTTCACTTGCTGAGACTGAATAACCGATGCTGCACTTTTGGGCTTTATCGCCTCCATCCATTGTATCAACTCTTGCTGAAAATATAATTTTAAATTGGTAAAAAACATGGTAGTTATCAAGCGACAAATCATCTAAGCTGAACAGCTTTAATTCAAGATCTTTGTTACGTTAGACCTTACTACTTATTATATTATTGTCATAAATAGTGTCAGAGATATCAGTATTTGAAATAATAACCTGAAAGACTAGCCTAGAGTAGAGCAAATAAGAATTATTTTACGATACACGGTACATCTTACAAGGCAAATTCGTAATTAGCATAGGAAAATTGAAATATGATTTACCATAGATGCTGCTTGGAGATCCCATGCTTCTGATTTCAATGCTACTTTAAATGTGAATGTTTTTAAATCTACCAGCTCAACATTTTGAATGGTTCCTCGACTGCAGCCCCCTTAGGTGAGGTGCTGAATTCGTTTTCATAATATTGGAAATAAATTTTCGTCAACTTGAAGTATCTTTTCCTCCAGCCTTTTCTCCAACCACCATCTTTTAACAGGTGTCCCTCAAATGTGGTCATAACATTGAGCTAAAGCGAAGGGGCTGAAGTTTAAAACGTTTAAGTACACAATATTGAAGGGATAGCCTTGAGAATGATTTCCTTGTTCTGCAGTTGAACAAAAAATTTCAGTTAAACAAAAATTTCAATTTTATGCCATTTATTACAGAATAAACAAGTTTACAATAAATCAATTTGATATTTGATAAAATCCTAATTCAATGTGTAGTATGGCTGTCACTCTTTGAATAGATTAGATATAGGTTGACGGGGCAAAGGAGTGTGCGTGCTGTTCGCTATTGCTCACACCAAACGGCAACCTAGTAAAAGTTTTGTATGGACACCGGTCTCCATCACTATACAAAATTAGGATTGTGGAATTTATTTTAAAACCTACAAGGAGTGGAGGGAGCGGTGTGGTGCATTAATAGAGTGACAGCCTACTGATTTAGAGTTGTTTTTAAGTGAGCATTATGGGTATATTTTTGGATCTAAAGGCTACCATATGGCAAATTTAAAATTGGTTCTTTTAATCATTTGTTTATTAAATATCAGTTTAAAAATATATAAATCTGGAATCTGATCACACTGTGAACCAGTCCTATAAAAAACCACAAAAAACCCTAGTAAAAGTTTTGTATGGACACCGGTCTCCATCACTATACAAAATTAGGATTGTGGAATTATTTTATAACCTACAAGGAGTGGAGGGAGCGGTGTGGTGCATTAATAGAGTGACAGCCTACTGATTTAGAGTTGTTTTTAAGTGAGCATTATGGGTATATTTTTGGATCTAAAGGCTACCATATGGCAAATTTAAAATTGGTTCTTTTAATCATTTGTTTATTAAATATCAGTTTAAAAATATATAAATCTGGAATCTGATCACACTGTGAACCAGTCCTATAAAAAACCACAAAAAACCCTCCTAAATTAATTATTAAAAACGTCTCAATAATGGATTTATAGTCATACAATTTAGAAATTTACCAAATTCTTACTATATACCTAAAAGAAAAATACCTACCTTAATTAATTTCTACCTGTAATACACTAAATATTAGGTAAATATATAGGTTGTGGAGTCAGCACACGTTTACCAAAATCAAAAATTTTTCAATAGGAGGAACCTGTGGCCCGAGAACACTAGATTAAATTTGTTTGTTGAAGGGGTTGTTTTCAAATGACAGCTGCATTATGTCATAATCGCTTGCGGTCCATGCTGAATCATTATAAGCATTTTTATCAAGACACTTATTTTACTTCGGAGTATTCCAACAGCCACATTGTTACACAAGTGCAACCAGCCAATTACAGGAAGCTGAAGGATTTGTTTTTAGCCAGTGACGGTTAAGGTAGTGTGTACCATACTTTCTTCACCCGAGACTTTGCTGCAATGTGCAGCTCCTCATTTGACCCTCACACCCGATTTCTCGAGTATTCAGCTGAGTGAAACAAATTTTTTTAGTGAAACAAATTTTAAAATTTTATCCTTTATTTTACAATCATAATATAATAATATTTATAAGCCTCCGTTTTGAAAGTTTTAAATTTTAATATATTCACATTTCTATTTAAAATTCAATTTAATGTATAAGTCAATAACTGGCCGCCAAAGCCGCGCATTCTTAAAAACATGATTAAATTGTTTATGATTATACGACAAATAGAAATAAATTTAAAATTATCCGTGGTTTTTTTAAAAATAAATTATAATCTTACCTAAATCCAAAGCCAGCTTTGTAAAATTTACTTTTAGATCAAAATATATCGTCAATTCTAAATATTTACAATGCAACATTTCATTAATTTACATACAAGCGTACTCCAGCCCCTGTACGCATCCGTTCTTATGCGGCGCGGCTCAAGCCGTGCACGCACGTATTATTTTATACTTTTTGCTTTCTAATAAATATCGTGTCAATGTGTACGTCTAAATGTTCATGCTTTGTGTAAACCGAATCCAATTGAGATTAGTGACAAGGATAAGGACCCAAGTGCCTGTACGGCTTTTTCGGACCCCTGTGGACCACTACTCTTGAAGTCGCTCTACAACTATTGAACATTTATAACTTTTATATAATATATAACGACATTTGACAATTATTATCATTAATCTATAATCTAGCTGTCTTGCTGAGGGGGAGGAGTAAACGCTTCACAAACTAAAGTGCTTACAACATACAAAATTTAAAACCATCAACACGGTTATAGTTCATATCAAGGGCCAATTTGGTATACCTCTATTTCGTTGTAATATCTAGTATATCTTCACATCTTAATACTATAATGAAATACAATAGGATACATGTTTCGAGAAAGAAAGGTTGGTCCGATTATTAACAAAAGTAAACAAAAGTCCATCAGGGACTCCACGGAGTCGAAAAAGGTACACGGCTGCTGTCTGGTGCTGCTAGGCATTAATTGATCAAGATGTTTTATTGTATTGGTTTTTGATGATTCTATTGTTCGTGACTAATCAAGTTCTAAGTGGGGGTATAAAGTGCTGCTTAAGATACTTCGTCATCTCATGTCCAGTATAATGAATAAGATAGTAAACAATATAGTTTCAGTAGTTGACCCATACAGTTAATATATGTCCGTCATAACTCACAATTGTTTAGTCATCTGTCAATTGTCAAAGTCGTTGTGTGTTTAGTCGCTGAGTTAGCAGTAAGATAAGTTGTTACGCGCGCGCGCGTTTAATCCCGTCGACGTGAAATGTGACAATGAAAACGCTACAGAATTATTGTTTTCGCGCGTTACGTAGAATTTACTAGTGTGTAATACTGGTTAACACTGGGTGTACACTGAGTGTAAGTCGCTAAGTTTCATATACGAGCCGAATATTTCTAATTTTGAGTGTATCGTGAGCATGTTTTACAGTGCAATTGTTCGGTACTAGTGTGTTTGTGTGTATATATATAAATATATCATCTGTGGAGTATGGTGTGTGGACTGTGGTAAATAATGTGTTTAGTTGGAGTGCAGTGGTTGCATGTATGAGGAAAGATAAGTGGTTATTTTAGTAACTCACATTAATCAAAACTTGAGCTTATTCGTGGCAAAATTAAGCTCACACCAATCAAGTGTATCATGCTTGAATTGCAATTCTTGTAAAGCAATTTTCAATGTATTCTTAAACCCGTTTGTCGGAGTATTAAAACTTATCTTACTTGATGTTTGTCGACAGCTGTTCCACATGTAGGATGATTGGTAGATGAATTGTGAGGATGGTTGTGATGTGATGAAATAATCCTCTCGTCGTGGTGACCTGTTAAATGATGAGTACAGTGATAATGGTTCCTCTAACTTATTAATTTTGAATAGTTCTAAGAGACAAGTGTACTTATACAGGTTGTGAACAGTTAACAATTTCTGATTCTTAAACAAGGGCTTAGAGTGTTCTTTTTTGTAAAAGTCCACACCTAGTCTTTGCTCACCAAATGGTCGTGTCCGGGCACAAGTTCTAAATTTTTCTAAGTAAGCTTCTTTATCCCCAAATAGAATTCTTATACACTTTTTCTGTGTTTTAAAGAGAGGTTCGAGTCGGTTGTTGCTAATACCACCCCATACAGATATTCCAAATCCCAAATGTGATTCGAATAAAGTATGGTATAAATCCTTATAATACTGTTTAGGGACAATGTGTCGTATTCTGCATAACTTACCTACTTCACATTTAAGTTTTGAGTTAAGTGACCGTGTGTGAGTTTTCCAATTAAGTTGATCATCGATAATGACACCTAGAAATTTAGCTTCTTGGACTTTTTTAATGACAACATTGTTCAAAGTTAATATGTTCTCGTCATTTTCTACTTCCTCTTTGGCACGTGACGGTCTAAAGTGGATAAAACAGCATTTCTTAATGTTAATATGTAATAAGTTTAGTTTCATATACTTATAAACAGATGCTAAAACTTCATTTCCCTTTTCGTACAGTCTTCTGACACATGTTTCTTCAATAAATATGTTAGTGTCATCGGCAAATAGTATAAACGTTCCTATAATTGATGAGTTTCGGATGTCATTTATGTGATAGACCGGGGGGGGGGGGGGGGGGGGCTGCATAGACCACTCAGTATCCTTAGCTGAACGTCAAAAACGCTCACCCCACGACCAGGCAGACAGTGGGATTTGAACCCGCAACCTCACGATTGCAAAGCTGGCGTTCTAACCAACTGCGCTACCTGGCCGTTAGGAGTGTTGCAGCTTTAGGAGTGTCTTTTTTAGGCGACTTTTAGCAAGGCTTATCTTGTAGGAGTAGTCAAAAAGCTTAAGTTTAGGTGCTATTGTGCTCCAAATTTTGGTGGATCTTGATATAAAGTCATTAGATGGGATTTGTGAAATGAGAGTGGTTTCAGGAAAACAAATTTTTAGGAAAACAAATTTAAATTTTGGTATTTATTAATAACAATCAAAACATATCATATCATAAAAATAAAGCCGTGCGTTGGTTGACTGCCTCAGTAAGGTGAATAATTTAAGCTTGAAGGTGCCCTGCGCATTTACAGAACCTTATGCGGCGATCACATATTCATGAGGACCTGTGAGCGCCAAATTTAATTTAAAGTTTCTAGAAATCATACATCACTACGAGTTACTCATGCTTTTGGATTATAAGAGTGCGGATTGTCAGGTATTTCATTCATTCATACTTAATCGGTTTAAAGCTGTATATTTAGAACTCACTATTGTTTAAACTACGAAAGCAGAACGTAGATAATGGACAATATACCGACGACAATACCAAGGACCCGAGTGCCGCATTGACTTTTCCGGATCCGTTTTTACCGAAGGCTTATCCACCAGTTACTCATGCTGCATGTATAGTCTGATAATATTTTGTCTTATCTCTAGCAAGCATTCTGTAAATTGAAGTGTCGTATTTATTATTATTTCTAGAGAAGAATACTGTTGCAGTGATGTTGGGCACATTAGTTTTAGTATTTTAAAAACTTCCATAAATGTGTGATATGTATACAAATTTTTGAAAGCTATGATGTTTTGTTGCTTGAAAAGTGGTTTACTGCAATGACACTCTTTTAGTGCAGTGAACAAGAGGGATTTGTGAATGAGCCGGATCTGTGTATTTCGATTCCTAGATAACAGTATAACTCGACTTCTTCTAACAAGTAGTGAAACAAATTTTAGTGAAACAAATTTAAAATTTTATCCTTTATTTTACAATCATAATATAATAATATTTATAAGCCTCCGTTTTGAAAGTTTTAAATTTTAATATATTCACATTTCTATTTAAAATTCAATTTAATGTATAAGTCAATAACTGGCCGCCAAAGCCGCGAATTCTTGAAAACAGGATTAAATTGTTTATGATTATAGAAATAAATTTAAACTATCCGTGGTTTTTTTAATAAATTATAATCTTACCTAAATCCAAAGCCAGCTTTGTAAAAATTACTATTAGATCATAATATATCGTCAATTCTCAATATTTACAATGCAACATTTCATTAATCTACATACAAGCGTACTCCAGCCCCTGCACACATCCGTTCTTATGCGGCGCGACTCAAGCCGCGCACGCACGTATTATTTTATACTTGTGATTACCAATTTTGAGGGGAACTGGCTGATAATTATCAAAACGGGCATTAAATTTCATGAGTTTAGTTTTATCTACATTAATTTTGACGCCCCATTCCAAGCACAAATTGTTCAAAGCATCGAGTTGCTTTTGGAGGGTTTTGGGGTCCAGTGCCAAGAGTATCAGATCATCTGCCCATAGTAAGTGACTGATAAGTTGGTTCATTACTTTCGAACAGTTATCATATTCTAGTCGATTGGAAAGATCTCTGATGTATATCTTAAAAAGATCAGGGGAAAGTGGATGACCCTAGGTTCAGTTCCTTTATTGATATCAAATTTGTCGCTGACAAATCCAAATAGTTTTATCTGGCCAGTGGAATTTTTATACATATGTTTAAGAACATTAAATGTTTTGCCAGTGATACCTAGTTTAGCTAATTTTAAGAAAAGAGCTTCACGGCAAACAGAGTCGAATGCTTTCCGGAAGTCCACAAAAACAGCATAGACAAGAACCTTGAGCTTTTTGTATTTAGACGTAATGGTGTTGAGTGTGAGTATGTGGTCGTATTTTTGAGCTCCTTTAGCGAAGCCAAGTTGATTTATGGGGTCCGGGTTGTACATTGTATTCATTTTTGAACTTGATTATCCTGTTTAACATGATGGTCGAGAATAGTTTCCCGATTATACTCACAGCAACTGCTCTGTAATTGCCAGAATTATCTTTGTCGCCTTTTTTGTGTATGGGTGTAATAATGCTGTTGTTCCACGGTTAATTGACGATGTCAATTCATGGCAGCTCGGCGCGGCACAGTAGCGCATCTCGCCGATCTAACCATGTCTGATGTCGCTGTGAGAAGCCTCATTGAGTGCGCGGCGCGGCACAGTAACGCATCGCGCTACAACGCCACACGTGCTCTCTGACTAGATCGGCGAGATGCGCTACTGTGCCGCGCCGAGCTGCCATGAATTGACATCGTCAATTAAAGGATCTCCATCAATCATAAATTCCTCTCACTTTCAGATTCCCAGGCTGCATTTAAAGCGCTTAACAGCACCAGTTTTAACTCCAGGTTCGTTTTGAACATCTCATGAGACTTGGAGGACTTCGCCGCTTCGACATGCCTTGACCATTGTTAATGGTCTGGCCCGGCGCGCGCTACTTCGAAGAAAACGGCGCGCGCTACTTCGAAGAAATTTAGACGAGTAACATCCGTCAACGACGCGCCGCGCAAACTAGCATTCTTGCTTCGCATCGAAGACAAGATCATTGCTCTGCGAAGCAGAGCAACGATCTGGAAGGGTTGACATCGTCAATCATTATCAACATGAGACCAACTCAACTCACTTGGTATTCTCGTCGAGTAGAACTTCGTTCGATCCAGTAAACTTAAAGAACTATCGGACGAATTCGCAAGGGACGATCAATCCAACAACATCCCCATAGGACCAGAACCCTTCCTCCCAAATAGGCCACACTCAGTGACTAAGGAACATTCCACTTGAGATGTTCCTCCACAAATATAAATACAGGAACTTTAATTTTTCTGGAACTCACATCAGATGGCTAACATGGTCGCTTTCAGGATAGGTCACAGCCCACTACACACTAGTTTATTTTCAGAACGTGGCAAACAACGTCAAATTCGAGACGCAAGATTGTGAACACTTTTCAGGAGAAGCAGAAATATCCCAGCACCTCCTCTGCAAGTGCATCCAGATCATGACGTTTAGAATGAGGATAATTGGTAAACTCTACCTTAACAACAGTTAACTACAATCATATCTTCAAATTTGTGGAACAGTCGACAAGACTGGATAGGGAAAGCCCTTTTGGGTAACCTCCTAGGATTCTTCACCAGGAAATTTCGCTAAATCCCATACTAGGAACTCAACCTAGGCCCATCTCCGCATAGAGACATATCTCCCAGGCTCGGAAATCCCTTGTCTGCCCGCAGAAGTACTACAACGGAAGTGGGTTTGCTCTGAGACAGGTAGTGACAGCTTCAAGACTCCAGGGGTCTGTTGCATTGATATTTATTATTTTATGATTTCGTATATACTTTGGGAGTCCTGGCATGCAGCTAGCAGGAGTTGCATTCTGTGGGCACGGTGATAAGGCCTCCATCTTTTTAGTAAGATGCCAGAAACTGTTGACCAGAACAGAGAGAGAGACTTCACTATCTCGATTCATGAAGTTTGAAAGAAGTTACAGCAATGCGCGCAATTTGTGTGCTTTCGGTGGAGATATAGCCTGTGCTGAGTGCGCCTGTGTGTACGTACACACAGGCGCACTCAGCGTCATGGCGCTTATTACACTGACTAAAGGTAAGGTCAACCCACGGAAAGATTTGATTAAAGTAACGTGACAGCGAGAGTATAATAGTAAATTTATGTCATTCAAACAAAATGTTTGATCTTTGGTTTGTGGTTAAGTGACAATTAATTACGATTTGCTACAGTCCACAAATAAATTGAAATAAAGAGACGAAATCTTTGCAGGAAATAAAATCGTTCATTTACTAACGAGAATCTCGTCAGTAGAAGGAGAATTACAGAAATTATACAGATACAATTCTCACAGGTGATCACACGGTGTGATATGAAGGAGGATGTTTGTTTGAAACATGACAGCGATTTTTATTGAACTAGCAGCAGTAACTTACAAAATCCCAGTATTACTGAATATGAATTACGATTAGTCGATTATACTGCAAGCGTCGAAAATCGCCATCAAGCATTAAAAAAAACTGAACCACTTCCTGGCTGGTACCCACGGCTAAACTTTTCTAATAACAATATAATATGTATGTAATATATATTTTGCAGCGAAGCATCAGTTTTTTTGTTGCTGACGGAGAAGTTAAAAAATCTAATTTTACACTCTTTTCAAAACCAAATCAAAAGTCGTCTGAAAATAAGTAATGTGCAAAGTATGACCATGTTTGAAAGTTTTGGATTTGACACAAAAGTTAATCTAAGATTAATGTATGGAAATATCTTAGTTTTCCACAGAAGCTTTCTATTTACGGTACATATAAACTCAGATTATACAATCTATACATTAACTGTAACACAACAACAATAATAATATTTATTTACACAGTTAAATACCCCTCGAAATAAACTTATCAAAATAACTTTTACCCCAAAACAGCTGTTTCCATAACAGACTATCGAAAACACACAAATCAAATAACAATAAGATATTACTACATGAAATTATACATTGCTTCAGTACAAATAGTTCACTCAAAACTCACAAGATTCTCCTCTTGACATTTCAAACAATAAGAAATCAGGAGAATGAATCAGAATCACACAAGATTTCACACACAACCTTGTTGCCTTGAAATAGAGTAGAACATTGCCTCAATCTTGGAACTTATTTGAAATCCAATTGTCCTATTTCTGCACTGAAATGTTTATTATTATTGAACAAAACTACAGAATCTTACCGGTGCAAAGTCCTGACAGAAGTATAAAGTTCAAATCTCTCGCTGATGATAAAATAAACTGCTGTAGTGACTACAGTGTAGTGTGCATGTAGTGACTGCATGCAGTGTAGTCGGTAATACGGTTCAAGAGGCAGAAGTAGGCCCGATGGACTCCATGTCGTATATAGGAACTGAGTCTATAAAAGAACAGGACGCCGCTTCCATCACCTTTTTTCTGCAGAAAAGTTATTTATCATTTTTATATTTATCATTTTTTGTACAAAATTCAACTTATAAAACTTATAAATTGCAAACTAGATTTTGGAAAGTAATACTTGATAAAGTTTCCTTCTTTTTATTTTAAATGGCTCAAATTGCATTTTTAACAGTTCTCGACAATATAGAACGTGTCAAAGAAGAATAGTAAGGCAATTATATATATGTCAGTACGGTAAGGATATTATCACGTTCAGGTAAAAAGTAAAGGGCACTGACCTTGAGAGAATATCTGTAACTAAATCGTCATTTTGAGGCTGATCTGTGTTCCTCTGACTAATGTAGTCTAAACACATCTCGTATAACGGCTTTACTCCTGAAAAAAAAAAACAGATTATAACTCCACAACACACAGATTATAACTCCAGAACAAACAGATTATAACTCCAGAACAAACAGATTATAACTCCAGAACAAACATATTTTCACTCCAGAACAAACATACTTTCACTTCCGAACAAACATACTTTTATTTGCGTTTCTTTAAGAAACACACATGAAAGTCAAAATTGTATAATACTAGAAAACCCGTGATCACAGGGAGGAAAATAATAGTATTCTTTGGTAGTCAGTTTTTATCGAATCAAAAAATATCCGTCACAACCGAATATACAGCCTATTCAAATGTTGCTCGCTCTGAACACAACATAATAACAACAAAACCGATCAAAATGTCGCTCGCAAATATTTGCACGTGCGCGTTCAACGCCGTTACCATGGTTACTATGCAACTTCTTATTTCTCATATTTGATACAAGAGAAACGCCCTTTTCGGACGTGAGGAGAGTTAGGACGTGGGCTGTCGTACAAAAAGAAAGTTTCCAATTATAATTGTGATAATAATATTCCTAGTGTTTCTTACCGTAATTAAAGCGGACCATGTTAGCCCAGTATTTGTGTTTCGGTTGCCAGATGTTGTCAGGGCTTCCCCCAAATACCAACAACTCTGAGCATTGCTCCGACACGTTGTAAGACGCTGTGGTATGCCAAGTGCGGGCACACAGTTCCTCATCACATAGCTCCACCTGATGAAATAACGTTGGTTTAGAATTATTACTCGATCTTAAGCTAAAATGAGACCGTCAACTATGCGATAAATTTATAGACAGTCTTTTATAAAGAATGCTATTTATTATAATTGTTGTAATCGAAAGTCAAATTGGCACAATGACTGGCCGTTGCAGAAATTGCAGCAAAACAACTTCACGATTTAGTTCGTTATTTTTAGTAACAAATGCGCGCACGCGTTCGCACAATCTGCCAATGTAGAAATTGAGAACTTGAGTTACAAGTCGCTTTAGCTTAAAATGTCTCCATTATAAAAATTATCCGGCTCAGAAAATATTAATAACTAGAGACTGTGAAAAGGAGGGCAGAATGTTGAAGAAAACTAGAAATGGTTGAAGATTTTACAGCCACAAATAAAAGCCACAAAATATTATAGTCAATGCGCACCACAACTAAAGTATACTGGTAATATGCTCTCGCGCGCTACTGAAAATACCGATAACACTGTGGCGCGCGTCTTTGTCGCTACATACGTTCGAGTTAGGATATGTAGGAGATAAGTACAAAGATGGTAGTTTGAGGCTTAAACCATAATATAAGGGCTGCGATACTTTTAAATCCAGTATTTTGCACCGATATCAGCAATCAGCACTCAATTGATCAATTGAATTACAAGATGTACATATCAATGTACGCAGACACCAATCTAATAACTTACCCGTTTCCATTTCGGGTCGGGTCCGGTTTCAAGAACCCACTGAGCTTTGACTGAGTCACCGTTGCCATTCATTCCCCCGAGTAACAGTACGTTATCGTCGTGTAGACGGGTACAGGTGTGGAGCGAGCGGGCCTCAGGACCAGGGCCTGTCTCTATGGGCCCTTCCCAGGTGAAGGTGTCTAGGTTAAAAATGTACAACTCCGATACTCTGCCTTCGCGTGTCCTTCCGCCAAATAATACTGCTCTGAAATACAACAAAATAACTGGGCAGTTCAATATTTAATTAATAAGTAACTTTCATAAATCTTAGAGCCTTTAAGTGAAAGGTGGACTCAATAACATACGATAAGATAGACGTGTCCTGGTCGTTGATACTGGTGTGAAGGTATATTACTACTTAAAACGAAGTTATAATTCGGAAAATAGGCATTCAGGAGCACAAATTCAGGAAGCCCTTACTAAGGAGTAAGGGGGTTATCATATTAACACCAGGAAATAGAACTTATTATATTTCACATGATGCTGAAAATTTGATGTAAAATCTGGACACACTCAGTTAATTACTGTTATCATCAGGAAATGCTTACCCATTTAATTTGGACAAACACGATTAAAACATACCCAAAATATCCAGGAAACACACTTCATTACATCCTCCATATTTGTGTGAAAATCTCATCAATTACATTTAAATTGATTAACAAAACACACTTAAATTAAAAAGTGTTAGTGCTATCATATTATCGTATTTGTCAGCAACAACAATTAATATAGTTCACTGAACTATTAAATCATTAATCTGCTCAAAAATTACATTGGACACAATGCAATAATACAGAGTACAGACCAGTATAATCCATTACAAAATACAGTACACAATACAATACAGCATGTACAATTATACAATACAGCACACAATACACCGCATTACTTACAATTTAGAATCAGATTATTTCCAATACTGCCGTTTTCTCAGAAAAGGCAGTTAGTCCAAATTTTCGAAATATGACAATATTGGTATCAAAATTTTCAGTAGAAAATTCTCTACAACATGAGCTACATATTAATGTATAGAAACATTGTTGCATGCAATTCCTAAGGAAGTAAGTCCCTGTTGAGAAACATTATGTTCGGTTTTGGCCAATTATTTTCTGAGAGAAGGACGTAAGTCCGGACTTACTGCCTTTTCTGAGAAAATCTTGAAAATTTTCTGAGATAAGGAAGTTATTCCGTGGACTTACTGCCTTTTCTGAGATAAATTATTTGTGATAGGAAGAAGTAGCTGGACTTACTTCCTATAAAAGCATGCTAAAAACGGAATTTTAGAAAGCGATTTCCCAAAAAGAACATAACTTTACTGCCGATTGATATTTTCGCTTGAAATTTTCAGAATCGATGTATGATTACATTTCAACCTTACGTGAGTGATCAAAATTTTCATTTAGGCCTCAAAAAAAATTTGGTGGCCGATTTTCAAAAACGTCGGATGTATTTTAGTCGCAAAACATAAACATTGGAGCAGTTATTGAGCTGTTATAATCGCAGAGAATGTTTAGTTTAGGTATATCTTTTAGATCAAGTTCATTTTCATCAAAATATCGATAAGATATCATTTAATGCACTGAAATCGTTCAAAATTGGCGAGTTTGCCTAAATAAGGGCATACTATTATTCAAAAACATTTATTATATAATATGGAGCAATTTAGATTTACCTAATTGTTTATATTTTACAATATAATCCAAAATACATAGATCCCAACCTCAACAAGAATTTCGCCGCGGTAACACCACGCACGATCAAATTTCCCTACTGCATACAATTTAATTGTTCTACTTTATTGTATCCCAGAGTGGTGTTTGGCGCATGTACAATGTAATAAACGTTTATATTATATTAGGCGTGCAGAACTTGAAAAATCCTGCGCGCATTTGAGGTGTCGCCGTCGATCTGTATGTGGTTTGGTTGTAGATCATTTCATACTTTGCGCGGTTTTGTTTCGTGTTAACAATAACGATATGCGTATCATGTCACGTCATATTACTGCATCGTATGCCAACTTATTGACTGTAATAAAATATGCTGTCTCGTCTTAGTTATTATTTGTATCTAACATAAACTAATACATTTTTATTCTTACTCGACATATCACAGCACCATCGACTTTCGAGCCTTTTATTTGATATAGGATTCTTTAAAAGCATACCACAATCTTGATATTATAGTTGCTTCTGAATGTAACTGTGAAGTAACATTTGTTCTCAACTATGTATTTCAATGCTTTCTACCATTCAGTGTCGATTAAATGTTAAATAATCAGCCCACAGCCACGAGTTTATCAGCTGACATCATAATTTTATTTGTTTTGACTTGCTGAATTTTATTTTTATCACTCGGTAAATTATTAAGCTTGTTTCACACAAATAACACCTATATTGATGATTGATCCGTTTGTAACAGTCGTCAAGCACCAAAAACTGGTTGCTATGCCTGTAATTAGTTAACTCATAACCAGCGTCGCGCGCGCAAAATAGACTCCTTTTATACACATAATTATAGGGGAGTGGTCTATATTGCGAAGGAGCAGACTTTTGTCGACACCGTAGGACCGTCGGGCCACCTCATATATCCAAACCCGATTACTTATTCCCTACGATCTTTTTGCCTTCGGCAAGAGCAGGGAAAAAAATTTAGTAAAAAGCTTGGACTTACTTCCTTCTCAGAAAAATATTGAACAGAGATTTTTCTCAGAAAAGGAAGTAAGTCCACGTTTTCTCAGAAAAGGCAGTAAGTCCATCCAGTATGAAAAATAAGTTCGATTATTTGGCATAAAAATGGTTATATCTAAGCTTATGGACGGCTCAAAGCTTTAATTTTTTTGACAAATTAAAATTTAACTAATTATTGATAACTCAACGTGTTTACTTTCGATCTTACGCAAAAAGTAAGCGGAGAAAAAACCATAAACGCAAAAGTCGCAATATCTCGAGATGGCAAATATGGACTTACTGCCTTTTCTGAGAAAACGGCAGAATACCAGTCGTACATAACACGGTACCTATTATTATCATCATTTGTACACATATTAATCAGCCGACATGTAGATAGCTGATATCAGACACGAACTAAAGGTAAAGGGAAAGGAAGAAATTGAGAGAGCGAGTGTAATTAGGAATGGACACAGCTGTTTGTTTATACTTTTGAAGGAAGGTTTAAAAGTGGTATTCTAATACTCGCAATAATCCAGAGTTTTATTGTTTAAATTAATTAAGTTCATACATAACAACTGTTCCTTCAAAACAAAGTTGTCATTATATATTCAAGGTAAAACCTTTTAACCGTTCAAACTTGCTCCGATAGCGAATATAAATATTCGCCATATTTTCATTCTCATTTAAATCTTTAAAACAGTTCCAAAATAAATGTGTTATGGTATCGATCTCTCAAACTTCCTTATACTCTAGTAGCAGGTAATAGTTGAGCGTGCACTTCGATGTGTACTATTTCTGACAACACAGGGTTGTTTGTTAGGTCATTCTTAACCAAAATCGTGTGGGTGCACAATTTGTTTCGCTAGAGACAACCCTACAGGGCAAATTTTCTAAATTACCCTCAGTCGCGTATACGAGATTTTCGTATTTCGGCTCCTGAAGGTCATAGGGACTTCAATTTTGGCTTAAAATTACCGCAATAGCCATATTTATATACAACTTATGAAGCAACATAAGGTCTCCAGTGCTTTGTTTTATAGATATTGACAAAAAACTGTTTTTTGGCTCAGCGAACCAAAAATGGGACTGAATTTTGGTAACTTGAACTAGGAAGATCGTAGAGACTTGAATTTTAGCTTAAAATGAGCGCAAACATCACATTTATATACAACTTATAGAGCAATATAAGCCCTTTAATGCTTATTTGTTAAGATATTGACAAAAATCGGTCATTTTGACTACACGCGTGAGGAAAAATACCAAATTGGGCAACAACTTTGGTCTTTTTTTGACCAGTTTTGTACTCAAGTTATTAAAATGTGCTTTGATGTTGTAGATCGGGTGTTTTCTTCCAATATGGGTTTCGGTATAAATCCGGAAGCACCCGGTTCATGCGTGATAGGGGTTAAAAACCCTAAAATGTCAGGCGATGGGCGAGACAATTGTCTGAATTTGGTTATAAAAACACTTGCACTCTTTGCTAGGGTTTGCTTTTTTCTGCTACATCGATCCGATTTCTAACTACTAATCATCCCCCTCTACATCATTCTCTTTTAGATACATGATTTCTATAAGTTCTTGAAGGTACATCCGGCATGATGTAAAGTCTATATCAAAGCATTTTAATGTGGTCTTAACTAGTTGCAAGATATTCAAGTTCACTAATAAAACAGAGATTGTAGGATATTCTTCTTTTACATATTGAGTAATTGTGGGCTTTTTGAGGGGAGGCTATAAAATGGCCAAATATAACTTTAACGTAAACGACCCAATAATAATATTAAACGTAGAATGAAAACTACTTAAAACTTATACAGATTCATGGTATCCTGTTTCAAGACGCTTGCTCCTGATTTTTAGCAACAATATCGACTGACCCCACGACGTTGTAATATAATTGTGGGTAGGCTATCACTTGATCTATAAGTTTTGAACGGTAGTTTGTAAAAATAATTACATTCTACAAACATTATACGCTCCTACTATGCAATTACTAGCCTCTGGACTAACTCCCAATCATCTGTCCATATAATGGTGTTTCTGGACAGATAGATGGTGTATGATGCCCTCATGCTAAATTCAGCGATCTTCATGCAGGCCTTTTTCTCTTTAGTGTTTACGTTCAGGTGGTTCATAAAGGTTTGGAGGCTGCAGTTGTAAATGCCTCGAACTCGAACTCGAACTGCTACTGTCTGGAGCTTGCAATCGAAATCTCTTCTGTCAGCTGCTGATATCTCTTAATATTATTTTCTCTTGATCAGCAAAGTTCTCTTTATTTCAGATGCACCTTCTTCGCTTTATCTGAATAGATTACTACATCTGGTCTCAGTGGTATTACACTAATGTAATGTCTAACAATAACGTTTATAAGTGCTAAAATTTCGAACTAGCGGACCATATTCGGAGGAGAAATTTGGGGCAGTTTTTTGCTTGGAAATACTGATTTAATCGAATTTTAACCACAAAATGACTCCCAATAATATTCTTATGGAGAGTGTGGATGAATATTAAATATTTAAAATAATACAGGTTT